GAAACCAGAGGGTTCAAGCTTTCTAAGCACCCCATTATTCCTGAAAATTTAAAAATTCGAAAATTAGTCCCGTTGTGACTTTTTTGAAGGTGCATTCTTCAAGTCATTTCCTTAAGAACGTGGGTTCTTTCAGGTTTCATGGGCCACAACCTCCAGGAAAAACAATATCGTTTTGACCATAAGAAGTGTTAAAATGCTTCGAGCATGCGCTTGCAGTGGCATACCCTGCCTCGGTGTGCGCCGCGCCTCGGCCGCGCTTCTGATTCGCTGATTCGATTGGAAGTTCATTTAGAAGGAACTGGCTTACAGATGCTCTACTATCAATTTTCTTGCGTAAACAACTTCCAATTGCTCTTTCCTTCAGTACCAGCATCTATTATCAGTAGGGCGATTAGTAGAAATCCGCCGGCCAGTGAGATAGTACGACCCCCTCCTCCATGCTAAACCAAGTACGACCCCCCCGTTGGTACTTGTACCAACGTAGGGTTGACCCTGCCGTCGTCCATGATTGGTCAACCGAAAAAAGTGGAGTTTGAAGAGTGGTAATTCCATCACTGCCCCTCTTTTTCTCATTAGTTCATGACCTCAATTGAAAAACCGTTTTGAGGGTAGTTTGATCCCCTGAATACGGGTATCGTACCTAATTTGGCATGGAAAAGTATAGCACCTGCACTACGGGCACCATAGGCACTCACAAACAAGTAATGCTTGACCTTAATAGAATCTGCTTGCAAACTCTTCGTAGATGTAGCGTTGGGCGACCGTTGATAAAATAACGGATTCAAAAAGGCTTTTCAGCCATGTTGAAAAAAAAAGCAAAAAGCCAACTCCCGGAAGGAGCCTAACCCGCAACCCATTGCTTGAGAAGCAAGACCGCTACCAACTGCACTACCGAAGCTCACCACCGGCCTTCAGTTCTTGTTTCGTGACTTTTATAATGGAGCTCACATGTGATTGCAGGCAAGACACTGAAAATCAAGGGCGGCAACAAAAACCCTCCGTAACTCCGCTCAGAGAAGGGTTTAGCAGATAATGGAAGCTGATTTGAGCTCAGCGCCTCATGCTGCGCACAGAATTGTGCACCTCACCTCATTTGGCCGGGTTGCCCTAATTACTTCTCCTGGTAGGAAGCGTATCGAAAGCATGTGGAGACCCGAGCAGATCAAGTTTTCGCACCACTTTCCTAATTTAACTTCACTTTTCCTTCCGTTTCCTACTCTGCCATCGTGCCTCCTGGTAAGCATTTTTAAAGAAAGAACGATCCCAAATTAGCGCTCGTCATTTTGCTGGGTCTATCAGCAAATTGCACGTCAACCTATTCGCCCGTCCCTGTGTCTGAAAAAATTACCTACTCGGAAGTTCTTCTTTCTCCGAAAATTTCTTCTGAACATTAAAACTCTGTTCGCTCGAGTGGCTGCCTCTTCCCTCACTCATTCTAGTAGAATCGAGTTTCCAGCACTCCCCTATGGTTAAAAATGCAAGAAGCTTTCAAAAATTATACCCTTCACCTACGGTAACGGCAGTGAACCGTTTTACTACCGGGTCGTTCAGTGCTGTGAGTCTACGCCCCAAATTCTTCATTCGCATCTGTTTAACTCACGTCATTTACTCCGCGGTTCCGGCCATCCCATTCCTGACACTGCCAGTCCCTAGCACTTTTTTCACAACTTACGTGAATTATAGCATTAACCATTTCCTTCGCCCCTATACCCATGCATCAGCGCGGAATTCAAATACCACCTCTTCCTCCTTGTTTAATTTTTACCAATGGCCAATTGACCCTAGTTTCAGCTTGCGCAGCACCGCTAGAGACAGCACTCACTACTGCTGGGTTCTGATCCTGTGAGGGGCATCATTGCTATACGGCGACCAGCATTGCTTTCGTATCGATTTCTATAGGTTTCTTTTTTCTTCCATTTCCATAGCATTCATTAATATCTATGTTCCATTCAGAGGTAACGATAGCAATAGTAAACGTCGTGCCCCATCAGAAACGAGGAACTTTTTGGAGCTGCCTACACTACAACAAGTACGAAAGGAAGCTTTTCTAGCGTGCGCTCGAAGAACTTGACGGTAACCCGGGATGACAGGTGATAGATGTAGGCGACTCCTTAGGAGCCAGCAACGATGGATAGAGCCAGCTGATACTTTCGACCAGGTAACCTGTGCCGTGGCCTGGATGTTTACGCCTAATCTCCTCTCCCTCCACCCTTTATCTTCAGTCGCTGTCGATTGTGCTATGGAACTCTTGTACGCTATTCAACTTGACTGAATTCCAACTCCGTCCCTAAAATTGTAAAGGTTACTACCTTGTTTTGCAGTCTACGATCCCTAAACATCTCTTCGCCTGACTTGACCAGACGGAGGGGTTGGCTCTGCTATCATCACGTAAATGGTTCGGACAGGATTCTGCAATGATTAATACGTATGTTGCGTGAAAATAATAAGCTCGTAGCCTTTTTGCCGTTCATTGTTCGAAGGTTGTTGTGGCAGTGTCCACCTTATAAGGAGGTTTGACGCCTGTTTCCATCAAAACAGTCGTTATTAACAGCCAGGTGAATTATAATGAAGTAAATGCGAATATATGCTAGACATAAACACGGAACAGATCTCAGAACTGGTATTTCGTAATCTGCTCGATTGTTGTTCGGCTAAGGAGCACACTGAGAACCTTTGAAATACATTTCTACACGAGCTCTCGCTTTTTCGGCTCTTGATCACCTCCTTCGATGATGCTGAATCAGCAAAATTCTTCAACAATTACTTCCTGCCTTCTTACATAAGTAACAAAATTTTTAATGGCTCTATGTATGTATGAGATGTGGGGTTAGAAATCATGTATACGTGTTTCTTCCAAATAGTTGGTCGATTGAACCCTGAACCTCCCAAAAAGGTGGCGTCTTCCAGAAGGCCACTTCACTTGGTATATTTTAACACATTGACGACAACGCAGGGGACATATCCCGCGCATTGCAGGCCATGTTGGACCGTGCGGGATATACAGGGGTGGCCAAAGAAAAAAGAGACACTTTGCTCGTGGCGCACATCATCGAACTTTTCGTCGCACAGGCAGACGATGTTAGTGAAAATTTAACGGCGGAATATTCCTTAGATGTTCCCCCGTAAACAGAAGCAGGCTCTCCCTCATTGCCCCCGCCGTCTTCAGAATACAACGTCATCTGCCGCAACCGTCAACGAGGCTTACCGTAATCGCTTCGGCCTGAAGCTACTACATGATTTCTTCAACGGATTAACTGTTGAACAGCTTCCCAGAGACATTAGATGTGACTATGCAAAACCGTTTTTGACCAGTGTTTCAGGGACGTCGGAACGGCCTATGGTACCTCGACGACCTCGTTGAGCTCGTACCGTGAACCATGCTTCCGTGGGAAAATCTTCTGACGTCGTCGGGTTTACAAGGCTGTCATGTAACTTTTAGATAGATTAGAATGTGCTCTTTAAGAGTGAGTTGGAGGCAGTCGATTTGGTTTTGGAAAAGTGTGATTAATGCTGTCTGAAATGTGAAGTGAAGTGTCTCTTTTTTTGGCCACACCCTGTATATCCCTCACACCCTTTCTACTCATTTTTTTGCGCATGCCTGATTCTTTTAGAAGCTTCTTGTATTAATTACATGGGAGAGACCTTGACGTAGCTAAAAACATAGTGGCCCATAGAATGGTCACGTATGCTTCAATTTACAGGAGGATTTCTGAACCATACGAAAATTTCACTCCAATAAATTTTGCGTTAACTTTTTCTTTTTATGAATGTGAGGATTTAAATGGTAGTAGAAGTAGATATGCAACATTGGGGATGACAATATGCGTGTTTTGATTAAAATAATTAACGATAAATTGCTCTTGAGGTCAATTGCAGCGGATTCTGAAAAATTTCGCTTTTTCATTGTTATTACATGTCTTTCGATCGCAATTCCACTACTGTACCCCTGGGTAGGCTGTGCTCATTGCAATGTAGTAATCTGGTGCTGTATTGATTATTATTTATGTATTTATCGCTTCAAATCTGCTTGAACGACGTGAGGCGGCTGCGCCCGCGAAGTCGCTCCGGTCCCACGTGGCCGAAAAGCCAAAACTCGCGAAGTCGTCAACGTGTTAAGTAAATTTGGATAAACCAAGGAGTCCTTCACAGGCGATATGGCACAAAATGGCTTCCTACATGGAACCTTCTAGCAAATCTTCATCACCCACATAATGGAGCTTGGTTGACCAATCGAGGATCGGGTAGTTCAGGAGTCGTTCTCGAGGCTGCGGCGATTCACTCACTTTCACGTCACGCGATAGTATTCTTTGCCTGGTATCGATAGATACCGTGGAGCGTTCCTGCTATCGCCCATCGGGAGTCGTTCAGTTCTCCTCCTTGATCAGGTAATCAGAGCTGCGTGATGATAAGTCCTCAGGTAAGACTTGGGCTTATACTTGGATACACATGAGGCATATGTACGCTTAAGCCTAGGGTTAGATATGAACTTGGGTTTAAGCTTCCTACAAGCAAATCCATGGTGTTCTAGTGCAAGGTGACCTAACATGAGGGAAAACTGGTGTACACCCTCGTCCATCGAATCACTCTCTGTGCCATCTGGAATATCATTTCTCTGATAGCCTCACAGTCCGGACAGTTTCGACAGCTTCCCAGAGTTCCTCACTTATAGTTTTATATTTGGTTCTCTTTCCAGAATGATCAATTGCCATCTTGAAGTGGAACCAAAAGGATATATCACGGCAATGTACGTTCTGTCAGCAGTAACTCTTCCAGTGGATTTGTTTGGGGTCTATTGTATCGTTGCAAAATCTCCATCAATTATGAAGGAGTATTCACGTTTTCTACTTGTATACCAGATCTGCGCTACAATAACCGATACATGGACGAATTTGTTGTTTATACCGATCGCATTCCTTCCATTTCCCATCGTTTACCACGCTGGTATTCTTTTTTCCCGGACCGAGATACGTTACTCGTATATATTTATTACATGGTTGTGCATGATTGTTACAACGATGGGTTCGGTTGTGCAATTATTCATATTTCGTTGGCAAGCTATGCTTATGAAGGACCATGTACTGCGACTCAACAAGAAATTGATTTATGCTATATGCTTTACTTTTTTCATTCTATTCAACGGCGCTGTGATAGCAGCCGGATATACCATGCCGAATCGTATCGAGGAACTGAAGCCAATGTACACTCAGGTGAAGAACTTCAACATTTTTTGCCCCGTAGATGCATAGCGAGCAGCAATATCAAAATTCAGCATTGTTCTGTCCCTGAGTCTTACGCCGATCCAAACGTATAAACAATGTGAGACTCCGAAAAATATATTACGAACGACATGAGAAATATTTACAGAACAGTTGCAAATCTTTTCACAAATTGCATGAACCTGTTTTGGCGGACTTTCGGCATCTAGCACCTTTGTCAAGGATGAAAAAGAATAAATAAATCTGTAGAGAAAAAGCTCCTACCACAACTAACCCTTAAAGGCAAACCCCAGGATTAGCGCGGCTAGGAGGAAAGATACAACGAGGAATATTTTTGGGTCTGTACCTACGTAAGGTGTGGCAGTTTCGTCGCACAGATTCGCGATTAGGGCGCAAAAACTTACGGGCGGACAACCATCGACCTTCGCTGCAATGCTCTCCACCCACCGCGGTTGACGTAGAGATCAGCGCTCTCTCTCGAACGGCGTGCTCTCTCGCGCGTTTTGTCTTATTCGATCGCCCTGTTTCGCCGTCGCACCACATCCGACCTTATTGAAGCTTGAGGCTTTATTCAGCGTTCTCAAAGATTTCTGTTGCTTTCCTTCTCATTTCTCGTCAAGCGGCTCAGACATCACTACAAAGCGCTCTTAATCACCAGTTTTATCCCAGGGCTTGCCCTTAATAGCGTAAACTTGCTACATCTTGAGCGTCGCAAGATATCCCATTTATTGCAGAGGGCTGATCACAACAGTCAGTTAGAGGAATCTTGCGCGGAAAATCTTGCACTCTTTCCTAACGATCGAACTTCATTGTCGTGGACGTTCACTGGGACTAATAGACACCAAAGTTTCACGCATGAAGATTCGGTTTCTGAAGAGAACCAAACGTACAAAAACTACACCGTTATGGACCATCGAAGGACCAGGAGGTAGAGCAGGCGAGGCTGGATGACAAAGACGGCGTTTGGCCGGCTAGATATCCAGACGACGCAATGAAGGAATCGGTCGTAGAACGCACGCGATTTCTGAGAGTAGAGGACAAATCGATCGACTACAAGTAGGATGGAGTAGAAGTGTAAGATGTGAATGCAACGAAGCAGAAGGCCAAGAAAGAGGCTTCTATGTGAATGCACTCCACCAAGTTTGAGCATCCCCGGTCGCAAGCGTTCGTGATAGAACGTCCGTGGGCATCGAACGCGTAAGCAGCCTTTTTGAGTTTTCGAATTTCTAAATCAAAACGAAAGCAATACTTTCAGTTCTTTTCACTATTACCGTGGATAATGTCTCAAGCCAGTGACTTTATGGCTGAAAAATAGAGTCATGATTTTTCGGCGCAAGATTCCTTTTAAATAGAGGTGACGCTGAGTTGGGAAAGTCATACGTTTTTCTGCTAATATATTTTATTTCCAGTGCCTCTAACATTTCCTGTTGTTTTCCAGCTGAGCGATGTAGACTTTTATTTTAAAGGCTAAGAGGTCTCCGTGTTGATATTTATGATTCTAATGGTTTTATAAAAAAAAACCTATTGCCAGAGTATGTCCAGGCGCTTGCGGAAGAGGTTCTTTTTGTTCCCTTTTATATATTTGGTCGCTTCTCCGAAGACGATTAAGGCTGAGCCTCTACCCCGCATTCGGCATATTCGCAGGCAACTTGCTAGCGTCCGCCTACATTTGTTATTCGTTAGGCCTGGAGATGGGTAGGGTCATTTCAAGGATTGGGGGCGACGACGATATAGACGCGATGAAGCGGAATATATTCCAGAATGACACGACGCTTATGTGAATGCCACTTCTCGCTTGAATATTGGATAATTGCATAGCACGAGCTGGCAGTCAACGGCATGTCACGCCGCGCCACAAACCTTTTCTGTTTGTGGACAGGACGGTGGCGCTCGAAAAAGATAGTCGCACTAGGTAGTGTAATTCGTATCTAATAGCTGTGAGTGTCATGAAAATAGTGCAAGGCTAATGTTGATGGCTTTGACGTGCTACGGCCGAAAGTCCCTCAGTTGTCACATAGCGCGCGTTGGTTTGTCTTTAGGCAAAGTTACGTCTTAAAATATTATTTATAAATCGTCAAAAGTAACAGCCTATAAGCCGTGCTGGTTGAAGGTTTAAAATTAAAATATACTTATCCTCAAAAAGAGTCATCCAGAGAAGGGGCAGGGACAATGCCCGAGATCACGGGTACCTCCAGGAGGCCTGTCGCCCCAGTCAGGAAGACAGAAGGTCAGCTCGGGACGATCGCGCGCGACTATAGGATTTTGGTGCGCCGTCCACAGTTAAACGGCACAGATTCGGCAAGCGTTTCTTATAACTCTTTCTTCGGTGTCAGAGTACTAGAACCTTAGGGGACAATTCACAAATTTGGCGTTAGTGCACGGAATTCGAACGACAAGAAAGCGTTTGAGGCTTGCCAAGTATAGCTGCCTGCGAGCTGGAAGACGAACGAGCTATTCATTATCAGCCATCATTAATAGATCTGGTGCACTGCTTCTCACTCTCTGATAGCGGCTCATCTCGCCCAGGACTCCCTCATTCCGCTTAGTCTCTGCGTTCCTTGAGCACAGCAGATTAGGAAGGATGACGTGAGCCCTTCAACCTGAGGGTATTCGGACCGATTCTTAGTTCTTTTCTCTCCACATGCGGTACCCACTTGGCACCGAATAACTTTCACATTCGTGCTGGCAGAGCCACACCAGTGCGAATTCCTAGGGGCAATATGCTTTAAGTAGAGCGTCATCCGCACGTCCTACACGCACATCAAGCCTTGCGCTGCAATTCGTCCGATCGACTCTGCCTTCATTGCTTCGCGCGACGGCGCCACTGGGGATAACCCATTCCGAGAACGGTTGAAAATTTCTGGGGGGGAATTTCCACATGTTTGCCGACGATTATTAAGTATCATTCACAAAAGAACCAAGTTCACAACTTGAACGACGTCCCCTCCTCCCCTCATATCAAACAGAAAAAAAAACGCCAGATACTGTTAATTTGGCAGAGTAGAACTTCCTAACTGTCAAATTTATGTGTGTTCGAGTGGAAAAGGCAGTTTTCACGTTATGGGCTCTCCAAAACCCATCCCACAGAGCCCCTTTGGCACATGAGGTGTTCAGTGAAAACCAATTTACATGAATTTCCGTAATTTTATGAAAAAAATTATTTAGCGCATGCCCAAGCTCTATAAGCTCTCCTTGGACGTCATAGATTTTTCATTGGTCTCTATATCGATATCTAATGGTTGAAAAACATTCCAGAATTTCTCCTGCGTGGCCGAAATGATCGACCTACGCGGAGTTCAGTACTTCAAGCAGGGTGATTACCAACGGCTATTCCTAGTTACTACCGTGGGAGCGTCTATAGTTGTCACCATGGCGTTAATTCTAGTCTACTTGACGTCTCGTTCACTTCAGAACAAGAACGTCTCCCAAAAAACACTCGACATGCAAAGAAGATATCAAATCTCGCTGATCTTACAGGTAACGTCCAGGTTTCGATTTTCACTCCGATCACACAACCAATGTCTGAGGTATCGTATTGAGAATTATACCCAGCAGGTCCTTGTCCTGTTGTTCCTCTTACAAGGGAGGTCTTTCAGGACAAGGTGCGCTTTTGGGAAACGGTTTAGTACATGTCGTAGGGACACATGTATGGACCACAAAACCATGTTTCGCTTTCGCTGTACGGGTTTAGTAGTACCAAAAAGGGGTGAATAATGCTCTTGATGGTTCAATCCCCCGTGGCGACTAAATTTTGCATTCAAGGTTGGCTGCCACTTGTTGGCTCCAAAATGGGCCTGAAGATGAATTTGACATCTGATTTTGATATTTAGCGCGATTTGGCCGTACCGTAGGCACCAACCCAAATGCAAAATTTAGTCGCCACAGGGGATCGAACCCTTAACAGTACCTTATGCTTCTTTTTTTGGTACTGCTATAACCGTTCAGCCAAAACGAAACATGGTTTCGTGGTCGCTACATGCGTCCTACAATATGCACTAAACCGTTTTGAAAAAGCGCACCATGCCCTGAAAGACCTCCTTTGTTAGTGTCCGCGTAGATAGAATGTGAGCGTTGCACCAGCGATTTGAACGATGTACTGACGATTTACGGTGTTTGGAAGGGTCTTCCGATTCCCCGGTCTCTCATGCCCTCTCGCCCTGTCGTGCCCTCGTGGGTGTGAGAAAGTGGCGCGAGTCAACGTTCGAAATAGAGAGACTCTCCAGCTTTCAAATGCTGTCGTGTTGCTGGTATACCATTTCAAACGCTGGAGTGTCGTTCCAACTGGAACGTTTGTACTCCACGATTTACTAGCGAATCCACATATTCACGTCTCTACTGGCCTTATACTATTGTATCTGCTTTTCTTGAGTGTATTTGAGTTTCAATGTGGATTGCCCTATGGGTTTTTATGGATTTGAAATAAAGGTGACAAGACAGCGATTTTGGCAAGTTTACTTCGATGTGCTTAAACTCTGAGTTAGTGCTTCGCAGACCAGTCGAAGTAACACTGAAGGATGAGGCCAAGGAAGCACTAATAAAAGCACAGCACAACATCGGCTCCACCATTTTGGTCTCAATGAATTCCACCGTGAAGTTGAGGGGAGTCATGAACATGATTTCACTGTTAACGACGGTCTTCTAAAGGTTTCCGTAGAAGATGTTTCCGGACCAACTGCACTATAGTTAACAGTAGGATTGGGAGTAAGTATACTGAAAAGATTGTGCCTCATGAAGATAATTAGGGAGGTGAAAATGCTTAACAGATGGCTCCCGCACTGGCTAGCCGATGCTGCAGCAAAACCGTATTCCTAGTGTGTCGTTTCCACCAGTGTTGTTTCCACTTTCCAGTGTTTATGTAACGAAAACCACGAATATTGGGAAAGCATTGCAATCTGAAATGAAAAATGGACTGTTAACGAATATAGCAAGCCAATCCTTCACAAGCTAGACCGGGATGAATCTTCAAAAAGTTATCTAAAGCCGAAATTGTAGCAGGTCAATGTTGAGTTGAATATTCGACGGTCTCCCACGGGGCTGATGCACCACACCTCTTGGGAACCAGGTGAATTTGACACAACACCAATGTCTCTCCAGCATCCCGATGAGATGCTCTAGAAACACCACCTCGTCAACCGAGAGAAATGAAACAACCCTCTTTCATGGTGGCGCTCAGCAACATGTCCCATAAACGACCTCGCAAAGATTGGACAAACTGGCATACGAAGCTTTGCTCAACACGTCGTACTCACTGGACCTCTCGCTCACCAACAGCACTTTTTCCAACCATCCCGACGGCTTCTTGAGCAAGAAATACTTCAGTGTTCAGTGATCTGGAACGGCGTTCGATGATTTCATCGCCTACAGAAGCGCTAATTGTCACATAAGCGGGACAGTTGAGCGTGCATATTGTTAAGAAAAATATGTAGTTTTGAATAGTTTCTGTTACGATCGAAAATGTAGAATTTGAGTGGAGATATGCTTCTTCAAAAATAGATGTTGAAAACCCGCATTACTTTTCTAACAACCTAATATAATAGTGTAAATAACTCTTTCGACTCACAGAAAGGCATGATCCATCTAGCTCGGCCGCACAAGTGAAGCCTATGCAATGTCTGTTTTCGAGACTCCGTTAAAGTAAGCGAAATTTTTGCAAATGATACCTTACTCCATGTCTAACTTAGTTGTTTCTAGATCTCTAGTGACTTTCGAAATGCATTTTTTTTTCAAATGTTAGCACGCAAAAACTATGGAGAGTGGATCCGAGTTGAAGAGGCTATCAGTGGAGCGGGGAAGGTCTAGCACCCATCATTGTGCCAGTGCTGGCAAGAACTCTGAGAATTGAGTTGAATACCATTGGGTGAAGTTGCCTATACCTGTTCTACCGATCAACACCTGTGAAGTGCTACAGCTACCGAATAAGTTAGTACAAGACGTATTTACATGGATGTCATTCAGTGAATGGAGAATTTTCCGTATCAAATATTGTTGAGGTCCAAAGACTTGACGAAGCTGCTAGCTAGGAATGAAAACTTCATTGTTTCCAGGTAGTGACTCCTATTTTCGTTGTGATTGCGCCTGGCTGTGCAGTTATGATGTTTGGAGCGTTCTCAGACATCTACCTATCGATTTCGTTCACCCTCCATATACAAGGTATATTAATTGTTGCTGGTGATTCTATAGAGCGACGCCAGTACGTCTCGCAGACGCTGATTGCGGTGTGAGCAGTTGTAGAGCCAAGGACCTCTCAGAAACTCGTGTAAGGTACCGTGACCACAGGTTAGTTTCTGCAGTACCCTAAGCGTAAAACCTTATGGCAAAAGGTCCACAAAGGTACAGGGTATCTGATACAGGGGGTCACATTCCAAACTCGGGAAGGCTTCGAAAGGGAGAGGACTGAGACATATATTAAGTTGTTACAATAAAAATAGCGCACAGATTTGCTTCCACCCCACTGGGCGGCTTTCGAATCTCTAGATATGCTCATATGTTCGTTCGGGAGAGTGTATCTAAAAGTGCTATGTCTGCTCTTTGGCCATATAATTTTGTTTTTTTACTAGAATTCAGCTATGGACCAATGGCGGCATAAACTCGTGTGTGTGCACGTGGATGTTGTACGGCATACTGAGAAGCTAATCCGGATCACTCCTTCACGGCAGGGTTGTGCAAAGAAACGCAATCTACATCAAACCGTGCATCGGCTCGGAGAGAAACTATAACTATGACTTCGTGTACTTACTTCACGACGACCGAACTGCATTACGAAAAAAATCAGGTGCAAACAACAGCAAAAAGGAGCGAGACCGGACTAGAGACCTTATCTTCGTCGGTAACCGCTGTTGTCACACTCCACCAAGCCGCTTATCCGAGTAAAGCAGACCTTGTGAAGAAGGAACGGTCCTGAAACCAGGGTGAATATTGGTCGAAGATTCCTCAACGGCAGCCGATAATCTTCGTCTGATCAATTAGCACTCTCCCGCGCGGACATTCGCACTCTCAATGCGTGAGCCGTCTCTGTTCTCCGCGCGTGCGTTCCCTCTCGGCACTACTCTCGCACAGTACAGGGCCATTGTCGAGGAATTCCTCGACCTTTATTCACCCTGCCTGAGACTACAAAAAATTCCCACTGGAGCCAAGTTTGCTTGCGCACAGTTGCCATTTTTTCAAAGAAGAACGTCGAGTTTCTGCGTGTGGAATGGCGAAGCCTGACACAACAAGGTGATGTCCATCTCCTGTTCTGAGGTGCCAAACTGTTGCTAGTGCAACAAATTCATGTACATCCAAAAACGACATTGTATTGCACAACCCAAACATATGAAGCTGCTGAAACATTCCTTTTTACACATCGTCCCACTGTTCCCGCTCTCCGCTAAAACAAATTACGACCTCCTCTTTGCCACCACAGCCACTAAGATAAGCAACAATAGGGATTAACTCAAAATTCGTTGTATAAAACAAATGTCCGAATTTTCAGTGATCACCAACATTGTGTTGTGTTTAATCTCGGCCCATGGGCTATTTGGCACTATTATCATGATTCTTGTTAACCAACCGTATCGACGTTTTGCCACCGATTGCTTACTCAGAGTGTTCAGCGTATGTATGCGTACGAAATCCATGGAATCGGAAATGCGTCGACGCAGATCGGTTTGTCATTTGGCATGCATCGTGTTTAAATAGAACATCATTAAAATGAAGTTATTTGATCACCTTCAGCTTTATATTCCAGAGTCAAGTACGAGACGCTCGGCTCTCGTCTTTGACAGGCAACAACTAAGTGCTTATACGGAACTGTCGCTGACCTTTCTGTTGGGACCAGCAAAGACCTGGCTATCCTAGCACAAATATTACGGTGCATAATGCCACGCATGAATACCGAAGACTATGGGTTTCTGGTTCAGTATAAATGAAAACGTTGAACACATCGGATGAGACCACAATAAAAGAGCCGAATGAATGAAAAGCTACGACACGTCGTTCTGGCCTACATTATTGTAGTTCAGGCTGAAGTGAAACCAACGGATATTAGATAGGTCTAAGGTTTCATCGTATCAATACGAGTAGAGTTGTCACCACTTTTTGTATTGCTTTCGAGCGTCAACTCTCACAATTTTGAAAACTCTGCAGTTATTTCAATCTTCTTTCCGTTCAAATAGATCGAATCAGGAGAACTCGATCAAGTATGTAAGTAGTCCGGTCCTCCATCACGAAGTATTGTATGTAGGATTTTGTGGAAGATCGTGTTCGTCTAGAATGTAGTACGAAATGAAGTTCTGTATCGCTTATTAGTTGTAGCCTCATGTGTGAGTTTGCCTTCACTTGCGAGGGCTACCAGCTCCTGTTCTCCTTTGCCGGTCATTTAAGGTGTTCGTTTCCTTCTACACTTTTTGTCAGATGCAATAAATAAAGATGTCTTTGTATCAACGTAGGGTTTCTTCTCGTGGCATTTCAACGTGATAAAAGAGTTCTTGCGGATTCAGAATGACCTCTTCACTAAGCTCGAAACAACCTCAGATTGCGAAGATGAGTATGAAAGGGGACTTGGTCTGCTGGAATTGAGCATGTTGTTGATGGTGTCAATCTACAGCGATCTCAATGTGTTAAGGATCTCGGAGTGATCTTTCATTCCGACCTGAAATTTTCCCTCCATATCGATAGTGCTGTCAAGAAAGCGTTTGCTGCATTATTCATGATATGAGAAACACTAAGTGATCCTTCCGTACTATTGCGCCCCTACAAAACGTATGTATTGCCGCATCTTGAGTACGCTCGCAGTTGTGGAGTCCCTCTGTTAAAAAAGACATCCTAAAGATTGAAAAGGTTCATCATGTGTTTAGACGATTTCTGTGGTATAGGTCCAAATCTAGTAGTACTCCTTCCCTTGTTATCCCGTCGTACAGTACTCGACTAAAGTTGTTTTCCTTGATACTCTACAATACAGGCGAGTTATGTTGGACTTAGTTTTCTGCTTCCGGATCCTCAGGAAAGAGATAAGGCTGCCTGTGAGTAAGTACTGGTGCTTCAGACCGATAAGTGAACGTCTTGGTGGGTTTAACCTTCACTACGCTACTATAAAAAGTAAAAGCTTCTCGCTGATGTTTAATAACTTTTTCTGTCGTTCATGCAAGATGCTTCCAGCTTCTGCCGCCTCATGTCCTCCAAGCGCCCAATAGCAAGATATTCAGAAATAGGCTGCATAAGCTTGACCTCTTGCACACTTGAGAATCACAGAATATAAGTAAATGTATGTGATAAACTCTCTGAACCTGCTCTGTTTCAGTTACTCTTTCGGTACTTGTTGCACAGGTTTTGGTACGTTGTCTCGTTCCTAGCTCGTTGCACCAGGAGATGGAGTTGTTTGTACAGTTCTGGATGTTGATGCCGAAAGACATCTCTTTTTAAAAGACATCTCTTCTCTCTGCCAGCTGCTTATTTCACCCCCTTCCTTCCATAGAGGGCTGCCGACGTTTTTGTTCTTTTCTTCTATCTGGACATATTCATTGGGTGTTTTCTTATATACTACAACATCGTTCTTTTCCTGTTCTGTTTGCCTGGAGTACAACTTCTCCCCTATCTCATGGCTGCGGCGCATGTCTTCGAGTCGTATCTGGGCTATTGCTATTGCGCGCTAAGCTCGAGAGCCAATTTCAAAAGTTTTTTTTGGTTTTCCGCTCTCCCCATTCAGTCACCCAGGCTTATCTGCAGACTATCCTTTACTTCCATAAGTCGGTGCAAGTCAACAAGTGTTCCGTTCGAATACTTGGGCCTAGGTTTTACGCCCTGGGTTCGCATTTAGATCAAAGAGGCACCTACTTTGGCCCGCCCGGGAACGACTACGGTCGGTTGCGTTGCCCAGGCTGGCTTTGCACCTTACTGTTCTACTTACTTAAAATGTTTATTTGAGAGGCCGATGCGCTTATGCAGCCTCCTCAACTCTTCAGGTATTCATGGGTGACTAATGGTGTTTTGAGTTTCTGTTTGTTTGACGAATGGTCTTTTTCATTTTTGTCAACAGGCATGAAAGTCTGGCTTCTACATAATGACGACTCGCGGTCCCCAGCTTGATGTCTAGTCAGGGGAATGTTGTCTCCTGGCTGTAGCAGTTTTGTACTCGGATTTACTTTGATAACTGCTTGATTTACTTTTGTTTCTTCGTTTTGCGTTATGCTTTGACTAACATGAGTCCTGGTGTTGTATTGGGCGCACCTAAAATGCAGTTTAAATAAATAAATAAATAAATATCGAATGCAGGAAATCATTCTTCTCATTTAGGAGCGTCGTACAGAAAGAGAAACAATGCAAAAGCTTCCTCAACCCCTTGTAAAAAGCAAATTCTGCGGTGCGACAAAGTCCCAAAAGAACTGCTGGTTTTTTGGAGATCTTCTACTAAATCCTTGAGCTTTTACAACAAGTCAATAAGATCACATCGCTCATCGATTTCTCCCAGGGGTTACCAGTTTGCGGCGCACGCGTCGCGCGCACAGCACAGTTCTACAATATGAGATGGTGCGGCTTAAACTCTCGAATTTGGCCCAGCACACTTCGAATATTTGAAATTCATGCTGAATTTTATCCGATTGCCTCAAGTCTCATCCACCGATGGCTGTCGACCTTCCCTCCTTCGCCACCAATTGTCCGCTTTTCCCGGTCTCGGACTGCCTCTGGACCGGTTCCTTAATCTCGTGGTAAACTCCGCTTATTTCGTTGCACATCCCACCTATCTACTCGCCAACCTCTCCCCACTTTTTACCCGCTTATGGCGGCGAAACCTGCTTGTTTGATTTATCCTCCGCACACCATTAGAAATCTCACTCCCTTCCTAACTCCGCCCACTTTGGACATGCACCGCCCACCGATAGCAATTGGCCTGCGCTCCTTCACCCACCTTTTTCTCTCCGGGGCTTCTTGGAGCCGAGTGATGATTTCGGTCGTAAACTTCGCCCACTTTGTTGCACGCTCCACCCGCCAGTTGTCCTCCCGTGCGTTGTCGTATCGATCCACTCTATTCTCGGTCTCCTGGACTTTTCGGAACTAAATTATAAGGGGCAAACTCCGCCCACGTTGGTGCACGTCTCACCCACCAATAACAGTTGACCTTGACGGACTCAATTCACTTTTTCCGGTCTTCAGGACTCCCTGAAACTGAGTTATGAATTTTCGTGGATAACTCCGCCCACTTTGGTTATGCCCAACCCACCAATAATGGTTGACCTCCACTCCTCCTCTCACCTCAATCCTCCTCCCGGCTCACTTATACTTACCCGGCCCGAATTATGAGGACTGTAGAAAACGCTGTACAATTCAGAGCGTGCTCCGCCCATTGTGGGTGGGCCCCCGCCCGCTCATGTATGCTAGGAACACCTCAGACATTGCTCCCCTACACCAATTTGTTTTCAGCTCTGTAGGCTTTCTACCAAACGAGTTATGAAATTTTTCATAAACCACTGCTTTTTTAGATAACGAACCGTCCACCGGATGTGGGTCTCCCTAATTCGGTCAAACTCACCAATGCACACTTTCACCAAATTTTTCCCTAGTTTATTTTGTAAGAGATTTGAGAACCTTGGTTGTCAATACACTTCATTTCGACGCACGCCACGCCCACTGTGGGTGGGGCTCTGCTAAGCTGATATAGGGGTGGCCAAAAAAAGAGACACTTTGCCCATGACGCACTTCATCGAACTTTTCGTCGCACAGAGTGCCGATGTTAATGAAACTTCTACGGCATAATACTCTATAGGTGCTTCCCCGTAAGCAGAAGCAGCCCCCCTTCGCTGTCCCCGCCGTCTCCAGAATATGACGCCATTTCTGCCACCGTCGAGCTCAATGAGGCTCACCGTAATCGCTCCGGCCTGAAGTTACTTCATGATTTCTTTAATGGATTGACGATTAAATAGACATTAGCCGTGACTATGCAAAACCACTTTTGACCATCGCTTCAGGGACGTCGTAATGGTCTATGGCACCTCGACGACCCTGTTGAGCTCGTATCGTGGACTATATTTCCGTGAGAAAATCTTCTGATGTCGTCGATGTAGAAGGCTGTCGTACAAGGTTCAGATTGAAAGGTACTCCCCAATACTGACTTGGGGGCAGTTTGATTCTAGCAAAGTGTGATTAATGCTGTCTGAAATGTGGAGTCAAGTGTCTCTTTTTTTGGCCACCCCTGTATATTTGTACTTCGTTAGAACTTGTCCACCCATCCCACACTTGACCCGGTATCTCCAAGGAGATTCCCAGGAGTTAGGGGATTACCTGACAGACATACAGAACAACAGACGAAGCGCTTAGTAAGTAGGACAAGTTGTAGAATCTTTTGAAAGGTGTAACATGATGATGATCAGTTGACAGAAGCTATATAATAGTAAACACATTTCGTAATTCCTGTAACCTAAGGAACAGCTTCATTGGCCCAGGGTCTTTCCAGAACTGTTGCCGTTTTCGCGGCAGCGTCCGTTACAACAGCGTCATTCTCAACGAGGTATTAAGGGCGAGGGAACGGGCCTCGATAAAGGAGGTGCCTTTGCAGCACGTGTACACATTTGGCCCCGTTCCTTGCGGAGATGCTCTTTCATTCTTTGTAGTACATTCAAATACTTCCTTTTTGAAGGTAGAGAAATGGAGCGACTAGTCCTGCAAATAATATTTTATATCATGTTTTTTTCACATATCCTCGTTTTCTGCTGCGCTACATCCTCTCCCTCCTATCTGCACTACGACGCCACTGACGTTACTGACCCTCAAAGGAATCTTGCGCGGAAAATTCTTGCACTCGTT